GAAGGCCATGCAATACATCGATTCGTTGATTCTCTTCAAGCTAAACTCTCATTGGTCAAATGATATATCTACATTGATACGGAAGAACTTTTACTGCGCGTATAGTCTGCGCATTACTAGTTTCTGTAAAGGTTGCATCACTACACGTGAAGTTAGGGTATTCGCGTCTCTTCTTAAGCTTTTCATAAATTTCAAAGACTAAAACGTGTAAAATCAAAATGCTGACCGCTGCAAGATTGTTGACTCGTAGTTGTAGCAACATAACCTGCGACATTAGTAGAAAACAACAATTCAGCACAATTCTTAAAAATGTAAGTTTCGATGGCGATCCACGGCGTGCAATTTCATTTACCGAACATTTTTTTGTTGTGTTGAAGTTGTACAGCGTTAATATCATTTGATCGTGTAATAAGATTAAGCTTATTATTATACATCTGTTTTTATTTCAGCAACACTTTCTACAGTTAAATATTCGTTTCATCAACATTTAAGTAATATCTATTTCGTAGCCGGCACGTGATCCGCCTTTTCTAAAAATATTTAATTTTCATATATTTTAAATTAATTTTGTGAAAAGATAGAGCATTATTAGTATTTATTGTATTTATATTTATTACTTGTAACAAACGTTATGAAACGTCTTTGTCATATTATAATTAATTGTATTATAGTAGTATGCACTAAATATAACATTTAAAATATATAAATTCAAATATTTTTCAGGCTGCAGCTCCTGTATTCAGTGTACCCCAACGATTTACAGATCTGCAACAATACAGACACAAGTAAATTGACGCTATATCTTGTTACAATTATTTTATATATTGAAATTGACATTTAATTTTTATATCTTGTCAATGTAATACTAATCGTGATTTTAAATGTCATGAGCTAAAACGTATTTCTTATTTATTTAGATCCGAAGGTGTGAAAGGTGCTGTTATTGGCATTGATCTTGGAACAACGTTTTCATGTGTAGCAGTTATGGAAGGGAAACAAGCCAAAGTTATAGAGAATGCAGAAGGTTCACGAACGACTCCATCTTATGTAGCATTTAGTAAAGGTTAGAAATTAAACTTTATTTCTTTTAATTAAATAACATTATATTAGAGAATTGATATTTCCCTAATTTATAATAGAATTTTTAATATGAAATATTTTTAAATAATTTACAAACATATATTTACATATGTGAAATAAATATTTAGTACTTTTCATTACTGATAATGTACATTATCATTCATTTTGTAAATGTTCATAAAATCAGTAGTTTAAATAAAAAGCACATGTGGCATATCTATATTAAATTAATTCTAAAATTCTTAATTCTAAAAAACTTTTGTATTAACAAAACAATAGCTGATAAATTAAACATAATATCTAACATACAACTTTCAGATGGAGAACGTTTAGTTGGTATGCCAGCTAAACGTCAAGCAGTTACAAATTCAGCGAACACATTCTATGCTACAAAACGACTAATTGGACGAAGATACGATGACACTGAAGTAAAAAAAGATATGTATGTATATTTTATATATATGTTGATAAATGTAGTACTTTGTTTTTTAAATGGCTATAATTTTAGGAAAGCAGTTTCTTATAAAATTGTTCGTGCCTCTAATGGAGATGCATGGGTACAGGGAGCTGACGGTAAAATGTATTCTCCTAGTCAAATTGGTGCATTTGTACTCATGAAGATGAAGGAAACAGCAGAATCATATTTAAGCACATCAGTAAAAAATGCTGTAATTACTGTTCCTGCATACTTTAATGATTCACAAAGACAGGCTACCAAGGATGCTGGTCAAATTTCTGGACTTAATGTACTTAGAGTAATTAATGAACCAACAGCAGCTGCCCTCGCATATGGCATGGACAAAACAGAAGATAAAATGTAAGAATATTTTTAATTGTTAATATAATATTACTGCGAAGTACATCAAAAGAAGAATGATGCCATTATTTTTCGTCTCTTAGAGCTATTAAATGCATATATATGTGTATGCTGAAAAGATCATTTACTGACTAATTTGAAAAAATATTTATTAGTATTTTAATTAGAAAAAAAAACATATTTTAAACATAAAATATATTTTTTCAGTATTGCAGTATATGATTTAGGAGGTGGTACTTTTGATATTTCAATTTTGGAAATTCAAAAAGGAGTCTTTGAAGTTAAATCCACAAATGGAGATACCTTCTTAGGAGGTGAAGACTTTGATAATGCATTAGTTAATTATCTTGTGTCAGAATTTAAAAAAGATGTATGTATATTGAAATGAGTTTTACTATTTTCAATATATGCTTAAAAATGATTATTTGTAATATTTTAATATTTTTATTTTTATCAACAGCAAGGTATAGATGTAACTAAGGATGCAATGGCTATGCAACGATTGAAAGAGGCAGCTGAAAAAGCAAAGATAGAATTGTCTAGTTCTTTACAAACTGATATAAATTTACCTTATTTAACTATGGACTCTAGTGGACCAAAACATTTAAACCTTAAGCTTTCAAGAAGTAAATTTGAAAGTCTTGTTGCTGATTTAATTAAACGTACTGTTCAACCATGTCAAAAAGCACTTTCTGATGCTGAAGTGACGAAGTCTGATATTGGTGAAGTATTGTTAGTTGGCGGTATGACAAGAGTACCTAAAGTTCAACAGACTGTACAAGAAATTTTTGGTCGACAACCATCCAAAGCTGTAAACCCCGATGAAGCTGTTGCTGTAGGTGCTGCAGTTCAAGGTGGTGTCCTTGCTGGTGATGTAACAGATGTTCTTCTTTTGGATGTCACTCCTCTATCACTTGGTAAATAACTACTTTTTTACGTATTTCATTAAGATTATTTTTAAACTATGATGGTTGTTAAGACTAATCTTCTCTCTGATCGAAATGAAGAACTTAATCTGCTGAGTTTTCATGACAAAATAAATTTTTAATCATTTAAATGTGATTAGAGAATAATTAAATCTAATATTTGTATTTTTTAGGTATTGAAACATTGGGTGGTGTTTTCACACGATTGATTTCTCGAAATACAACGATTCCTACTAAAAAAAGTCAAGTGTTTTCTACTGCTGCTGATGGTCAAACTCAAGTAGAAATCAAGGTACATCAAGGCGAACGAGAAATGGCTACTGACAATAAACTTTTAGGACAATTTACTCTTGTTGGAATTCCACCTGCGCCTAGAGGAGTACCACAAATAGAAGTTGCATTTGACATTGACGCTAATGGTATTGTTCACGTATCTGCTCGAGATAAAGGCACTGGAAAAGAACAACAAAGTATGTAAACGGATAAACTAAATCAAGAATGAGTTTTTATAAATGGACCAACGTGTTAATTCTTTATACGTGTTAACAAAATTGTTTTACTTTTAAATTTTTATTTACAGTTGTTATTCAATCAAGTGGTGGTCTTAGTAAGGATGAAATTGAAAACATGGTCAAAAATGCTGAACAATATGCTAAGCAAGATAAAATTAAAAAAGAAAGAGTTGAAGCTGTGAATCAAGCTGAGGGTATTATTCATGACACAGAATCTAAATTAGAAGAATTTAAAGCACAGTTACCACAAGACGAAGTAAGACTTTATATACATAATTACATGTACAGCACGTAATATGTATTAACTTTTTTTTTAACAACATCGCTTAATAATTATTTATAGTGTGACAAACTCAGAGAATTGGTTGCAAAAATGCGAGAAACATTAGCTAAGAAAGATGATACGGAACCAGAAGAAATTAAAAGACAAACAAATGAATTGCAACAAGCGAGTCTTAAATTGTTTGAAATGGCTTATAAGAAGGTGCGTGATTTATTTGTTACATATTTTTGGAAATATGCATTATTAAATTTATTTGATTATTTACAGATGGCTGCAGAACGAGAAGGACAAAGTCGAAATGAACAGCAGCAGCAGCAGCAACAGCAACAGCAGCAACAAGAAGATGGACCTGAAAAGAAAGAAGAGAAGAATTAATTCTCGAATAATTGATTGCAAGCAGTGGTGTGACAGGCCAACGCTGGCTCGCTTCAACTCGTATCAAAATTTTCATTATACTTATTTCGGAACTAAGTTTCAAATACTAAATATCATCTAATAATGTTTATAATATAAAAAAATGGAAGAAACAATTATAAATATATTATTTTATGTACATTGTGCACATAAAATAGAATCTCTCATCAAGTGTTATTTATATATTTTAGGCATTTTACACACTGTGTACTGTACTTGTTATTGCTTGTACCGTTACATTATCTTGAACGTTTAAGTTGATAATAACTTTGTTAGCTGATCATCACGTGCTTCAACAACTGATCAAAATAACTTGGCATGGACTGGGCGAAAATTAATTACATTTAAATAAAAAATTAATTGTGCACACACAACTATAAGAGCACCAATCATTGCTCAAGAAAAATTCATTTTTATATAACATGCAGCAAAATTAATTTTGCATTATATTTTTGAGCATGTGCAAATTAGTATAATAAATCTGAAAGATAAAGTACATAAAGAATATTTTGAAAATGATCAGATTTAAAAATCTGATTACCAGTTGGTAATGAACAATTTAAGAAGTTGAATATGTAAATGTGATGAATCTTTATGAAACCTATACATAGTATGTTATTTATTACATATTAACAATTTGATAAAAGCAAGCCAAATTGCAAACTCTGTACATAACTGCTTACCTTATAGCATTTATTGCATTATCAGATTTACAAGCGAACTTGGCCATGTTTAATACTAGTAATGAAAATTGAAAAACAAGAAATGCAATCGTAAAACTTGATTAATTCAGTATGAATGTGGAAGAAAATAGTGAGAGAATGTAATGAGTGCTCGATTCATAACAAATTAGAGAATACACGATATGTAGATTATTTTAGGAAATATATTATGGTGTAACCATGTTATTAAAATTTTTTATTTGAAATACAACTTTAGAATATAATTTCAATGTTTTCAGTGTATCTAATAAATTTATAAAAAAAACAATGTATATGTAAATATATGCAAATTGTATAAAATTGTTTGCAACTATTGAAAATAGAAATATTTTCAATGAAAGACACATTTTATATTTGAAATATTCTTATGACTTATGTATTTCAAAAAATTTGATTTCATAGTAATTATGTTTGAATTTATAGTACTAATATTTCAAAATAAATATATTAAGTTATTTCAAAACATTTGACTACTAAATTTGTACTTTTTAATAAATTAAACATTAATTAAGTTAATTTTTTAGTAAAGATATACGTATTAAGATATACATATTCAGATAAATTATTGAATACTTTGAAAATGTGAAAAAATTTGTTGAAGACTAGATTCTGTATAAAACTAGTAATTCTGTATAAAACATTTATGTACATTTTAAACAATTATGTTTCGTAGCTGAAATTATTAGAAATTGTATAATTAATTTCCTATGTACAAACAATAATAAAAACTTAATTAAAATAATTATAATTTAATTAATAACTTATAATTTTAAATATATATGTTCCTATTCTATTAAAAATAGAAGATAAAGTCTAATAATTAAAATATGCAGAAATAATAATCTTTATAACAATTATTAATGTTTTTATAATGAAATTGATCTAAATAAATACACTTAATAATTACCATAAGTCTTGTATAATATAACGTGATTAGCATGTTATACAAGACTTAATAGCAGTTTGTATAATGTATTAGAGATATTCATTTTAAATTCATATAAATAAATTTATGTAAAACCATCAAGTGGTTCATGTAATAAGAAATTATTCCTCACAATGAATCTTTTTGCTAAATATAGATTCTAACATAGATCAAATTCTTTAGATAAATAAAACATTAAATATATAATATATTAAAAAATGTATATTGGTGCAATAATTCATATAATGCAGTGTTAATGTAAGTACATGAAAGATTTGCTACTAAGCATATAAACTATTTTGTCAAATAATTATCTGATTTTACTGAAAAAAATCTTTCCGTATATTCCCTTCCTTATATTGTTCATCATATTGTTTTAAAGATTAGTATTACATATATGTATATTTCGCTCATTAAATGCTGAAAATATGAACATTCAAATATTTTCATAAGTCATATATAAAATATAATGTTACAATTGCTTGTTACGTAACACAACATGACAACAGCGCACTCTATTTCTATCGCGCATGTTTATAAGAATACTCGTAAATCTTCAAACAAATTTAAAAGTAATATATAAACTATTATAAAATATCAAAACTATATGTATAAAATTTCAAGTGAATTTTACAATAATACTGTATTTATGAAATATCAGAATTTACGAGAATGTACTGTGATGAGATCGCGAAAATATTAAATTTTATGGAGGTAAGTCATGTTTGCATTAAAGTTTCGTATTATAATAGGTTATAATTAGAATTTAGAGATACGAGCGAAAATTGTTATAATAATTGTTATAAAAAAAATAAAAATTGGAGAATATTTCAATTAATCGATATATATGTTCAATGAATTGATGATTAAAAGTGAAGATAGGTATATATTTTCGTATACAGCGACTTACAAAAATACTTAAACACCATAGAAAATTTGTATGTAATATATAAAATATAAAATATTTCATTTCATTAACATTGTAATGAAACGTGGCCATAATGATTATATTAGTTAAAGTTTTCAATCTGAAAATTCATGATTCGATATTCAAATTGATAGATGTAAAAATTTTACGTTGATAAAAATTTTTATATAATCAAATGAAATTTTGCACTTGAATATTTATGCGTAAATATATACGATATATGACATGTTCATTATTAAAACATTTTCGTAGAACATTGTTTTCCCATAAATCCTATTAGTGCATGACAGAAGGTTAGTCGATTACCGAAAATCAAAGTATTGACATCTGTTCCGTGCGATATTTATTAACTGGGTAATTCTTTCATATTCTTTCCTTTGCCATATTATTAACTTTGTTTAATTAACATACGTTTTAATTTAATAATTCATCAAATATTATTATAGTTTGTAATTAATTAAATAATCTTTTTTTCTTTGATCGTCTTTCTAATTGTCAAATGTACATTTACTGATAGTTCGTATAATGAGCTTTCAAAGTAGTATTTGAACCTTGATATTTCTTTTATTTTTTATATAATTTGTTCCTTTTGTACATATTCATTTAAAAGTTTTACTTTTCTTTCGTTCACTTACAGATTAATTATTGGTTGATTGCGAGGGAAATTTCGAAGCATCACGAAACGCCATGAAATTCAAAACCGCGAAATTCAAATGATTAACAATAAATCTGACAGCTCTTCATGAATATTGAATTCACTTTAATGAAGAGATTTAAACAAGTTTGCTAGTCATGGATATTAAAATCTGAAATTATGGATAGTGTCATATCTGATCTGAGAATTATTCATTAAATTGAATAGTGATATTATATCAATAAAGGAATATAACGATTTGAAAATTAATTTATAGAATAAAATCACATAGGTTACGAAGAAGCACTGCTTCGTTAGGTTATATTCGTAAGTTACTTCATTATTTATGTTCAATTATGTAAGGCTTGCCTGTATTTGATTTAGACTAGAGTTTTTTTTATTTT